TTACTGCAGGAAGTCACTGATGGCAGTAGAGGGGAGGGATCAGAGAGATGGGATTGCAAGGAATCTAGGGAATCTGGCAGACAGGGAGAAGAGGGAGGGAAGGTGTGGAGCTACCGTGGCCAGTAACAGGGCCATGTTAATCCATAATACGATACCGGCTTAAAAGGTATTCATGGAATCCTGTTATGCACTGTGATTACTGATGAGCTATGGCCAGAGTTCAAATTATGAAAACAACATGGAAAAAATTCTTTCTTTATACAAGTTTGTCTTTAGCTTTTCTTTAAGCTACACAGTAGTAGATACTGTTATTCTTTCTACTGCCAATAGGAAATTTCTAATCAGCTTCACCAATGGCATTGTGACCTTTTAAGCCTGCACATTTTCAGGTACTGCCTGAGCTACTACTCAGAACTCTTACCTGAAATTCAACCTCAGGTCCTTGGGAGCTGGCTCTTGAAAATGTACCCCAAAATGAAAGTGAGCCAAATAGCCTAAACATGACTAATAGCTAATTGCTGCTATCATAGGAAATAGCTGGCCAACCAGCACAACTAAATATATATATTTGAAATTCTCTGTACTTTTTGTATACAAGCAGGGCACTGCTGAATAACGGCAGCTAGGGCATGAATTTCCAGTATCTTGTAAAAAAATGTTAGCATCTGAACCTTGTGTCTCATTCTAGATATTAACCAATTACACAAGCTTTTCAGATCTTCTTTTAATAATGCATTTCTCTTTGCATCACCTGTAAATAATATTTTCTGTCTCTTCTTGTCTGTTGTAATATGAGCAGTCTCTTTCTCACAAGCACTTGATTAGCGAAGTATGAGGACTTCACAGTGCATGACCGATAACTTACTAAAACGGAATAGGTAGCATCACTTGGAATTATTTGCTTATCTCTATTTAACCCTAAGCCTGCATGGTTACTTCTTCTCATGAACAGAGGCAGTAATGAAACTTCAATTTGAATCATCAGGAAACTGTGATGATGGTTGCATCCTGGGAATACTTGCTGTGATGTCACTTCCTTGGTACCTCGAATTTCACAGGAATTGCTGCATAGCAGGGATGAGGATGGTATCACTTCCTTTGCTGTTACGTATTTTGGCAGACTTCTGACTGCACGTAAAAGAAAAATCATGCCCGGGACATGCATGGTGAAGCCACATTGTGGTACATTCTGCCGTTTGTGAATATGTGAACTGTGCCAAAATGCATGGAGATGAATAACAGGGATTCTTTATAGTGGATGGATAACTCATACGTCTGGAAAAGAAAAATAGCAGTGCTTGCAGGGACTGCTCATCTGTACAGCCCATGCTAACGATTTTCACAGAAACCATCTCTATTCCAGTGGGCTACTATTCCAGGATAGTTAAATCAGGAAGTCAAACCACATCAGCCTTAAGGCAAGCACTAGGAGGTGCCTCTTTTTTCTTTTTCAGTATGAACCTTATGGCTTGCTGAACTCCAAAAAGAGAAATATCACACCAAGTGCCCTTTAGCATCTTTGCCAGCATTTTACCAGCCTTTATGGACACATTGTCTTAAAAAATATCCTTTTTATATATATATATATATATATATAAAAAAAAATGTAGATACTTTTATATATTTTGTATGGTGACTTTAAAGAAAATGTTCCATTGTATATTTTACATTTATACTCATCTTCTTAATTTGATAGTAGGAAATCAATGGAAAGAGTTTTTTGATATTTTTATATGAAAAAAATTGCACAATTGTACTTGAATTTGGCATCTGGCAGTGTACTTAGCGTTTGCATGAAACCACCCTAAGATGTGATTCAGTTTCAAAAATAGTACAGTGAAAAGGTTGAATCTAAATTGATAAGTATAATGTATAGGCTTCTATTGCCAGAATTTTTAATATTTTAAAGGAAACTATGTATTTTTATAACCTTTACTAAAAGGAACAAAAATTTTTGTTTTTATGGCCTTTTCTCTCATATTGTTATTTAAGCGCACAAAAATATTCAGAAATTAAATTTTACAACTGAAAATTCAAGTCATATCTTCAGTCAGTTGAAGATTTCAGAACAGCTCTTGTAGGAGAGAGATCAAATTGACAAATTACAATGTTTCCCTATTTAAAATAATAAAAACTTGTGTAATTTTACATGCTGGTCACCTATTGACTTTCCTTTTCATCACATTTCTCTTGCTAAGCAACAAACCAGAGCCTTTTTCTGAGGACAAATTTGTACATTTGCCCCATTGGACAAAACTGGTGTGAAACTTGCTGCTTTGTTTCCCTTCTTTATTTTTTTCCACCTCAAGTCAGCATTTTGCTAAACAAAGCAGCCTCTAAGTTTTTTGGTTTCATTTCTCAACTGTTTGACAAATTCTTGACTATCCTGATATTCTGCACTTGCATACATATGCGTGCGCGCGCACACGCACACAAAATTATTTAATGTTTCATCCAAAGTGAGCATAGTTTCACAAGTGTAAGAAAAATAAGTGTGTTGAGTCAACCAACCTCATCTTTTGGCAGTGTTTACAAAAACAAAGATGTGAAAATGTTTGTGTCCACAGCAAATTTTTAGAGAAAAGCTTGTTAGCAATTTGTTTTGGCTTGAATATCTGACTCAGAATGACTTCTCAGAATTATTCTTGTGAAAAAACATTTGTTATCTACCTTTTCTAGTGGTTAGTAGTTCATGTTATAACAATTTTTCATAGCTACCATTTTGAAAGGATATTGGCTCTCCCTTTGTATGAATGTGCATGTGAGAAAGAACAAACAGAATCAATATATCAGGATGAATAAAACACATCAAGTTAGCTAAAATTCAATAAAGTATATAGCAATCTTGATTCTGTTGTATTTTTCTACATGTTAAGAGGCCTTTGGAAGGGGGAGAAGCATGCTGTCTCAAAATTATGCAACATACTGTGTGAAACTTTCTGATTGAAAATTGTTTTGAATGTTTCTGTCTGACCATCACCCCAGCTATGCGCTCAGACATACTGTATAATCTGTGTTACAGTCATTTTGCATCTGTGTATGTATATTTTGTCCCAGTGAGATGTAGTTAGTTTTTACTTTGATCAGAACTGTTGCAGTAAATAAGTGTCAGTTGTATTAATGACAGAAATTTTAAACCTATTTTTATGACTTTTTAAAAACTTTATGGCAGATTAGACACTGGAGGTTTTTTTAACAAATGTATATTTATTAATGTGCAGACACTGGAAAGGCAGCACAGATGAAAGGAGAATTTACAATAAATTAAGTTTTGAATTTGTATTCCTGTTCTGGCAGTTTATTTTTGAAAGAGTATTAAAGTTGAAATGGATGAAATTCTCGGTATCACCTCCCTTCCTTTATTTGCAAAGGGATAGTTATTTGAAAAATGCAGGCAGTAGTAAGGTTTGTATACGACAGCAATCAATCAATCAATCTCTTCTGCATACCAGGTTGAGACACTCTAAGAATGCCTGGACCCAAAGCAGCTGTTTGTGATATTTTAGCCCTTTGGTCATGCTCCTGATGCAAGGTACTAAGAACAGAAATTGGAGAGGGGAGAGAGAGATTAGGTTACCACACCGATCCGCTCAGAGGCAGATGGGAAATCATGTCTAAGTTCCTTAGGCTTGTGCTGACAGCCAGGCCTCTGAGGAACTGCTGCCTCTTCTTCATGGATACAGGTGAGTGTGGAAGGGGCCTCTGGGCTCAGATCTCTCCCTTTGCTGCTACTTCCACATTTGACCTCCTAAGAGTTTTCTACTCATAGTTGAAGTTGAGGCTTGCAGGGCAGATGTAGACCCATCTGGCTTACCCAGCTGCTGCTGCTGGTCACCATGTTTATCATCACTTCTGTCCTTCAGAAATCAGATACAAATGGAAGAGAAGGTGAGAGGCCCCAAGCAAGAAAGAGAAAGGCAGGAGGCCCACCCTCTTGTGCAAATGATCCCAGGAGATTAGGCTCTTGGGAGAGCCCACGTCAAAGCACGGGGCCATTCCTCAGGACTGCCTGAAGTGAGCCTTAAACCAAGGACAGAATTAGAAACAACCCCCCTGGCCTCTTTCAGAGCAGAGCGTGCTCTAATAACCTGAAATAGTCCTATGTGTTCCCTAAGCCCAATTTCAGCCCCTTCCCCTGAACAAAGAAGGAGTTGTCCCTCCCCAGGGAAGAAGATCCAGCCATGCCCAGACTTAGAGGATCAAAAATAAGCTTGTTCACAATGAGAGCACAGTAGAATTGAAGCTGCCCAAGGTCAGCTATAGTATCCTAGTTGATAGGGTCGGAAGGGACCTGAGCAGATCATCAAGTCCGACCCCCTGCCATGGGCAGGAAAGGACGCTGGGATCAAATGACCCTGGCTAGGTGGTTATCCAGCCTCCTTTTGAAGACCCCCAGGGTAGGAGCGAGCACCACTTCCCTTGGAAGTTGGTTCCAGATCCTAGCCGCCCTGACTGTGAAATAGTGCCTCCTGATATCTAGCCTGAACTTACTCTCAATCAACTTGTGGCCGTTATTCCTAGTTACAGTTAATTGTCCTTGGTTGCACTTCTTGGGAAGATACCACATAAAGGGAATGGGAATTTCCTGTCAAGCATGAAAGACTGGGCAACTCTCCTTAGCTGGCACTGTATGTTACTATGGCACACATCCAGGCTATCTATGCCAGCTGCTGCTGCTGGTCACGGTTTTCATCATCACTTTCCTCCAAAAGTCAGCTGTGAATGGAAAAGAAGGGGAGCAGCCCAGATATGGAAGACCACACAAGTAGCTGCATGTATCTTGACCCACTGTCCACTGTGTTCAGCCTTACTGTCTCAACATAAGATTGAGACATGATAAAACGGTGTCTGGAATTCCAGGGTACAGCTCCACAACAGACTGCATGGTAGCCCTTCTTTAAACACAAGTGTGAATAACCATTTTATCTTGAACTGGGAGTGCCTAGCATGCCTAGCCCTACTTCAGGGGGTTCTAGCCGTCACAGGGGCAGGGAGCAGCCAAGGGACCTACAGGTCTAGTGAGCTCAGTGCCCTGTGCAACAAAGGGAGGAAAGCAGCAATTGTCAGGACCACACAGCAGCCCCCACATCCCTGTCTTCATGGAAATAGTGTCCCCTCCATTAAGCACCCCACATTTCACACACACGCACATGCATACACACACTTGAAATACTTAGCCTCTGACAGATGGAGGGGATTTTATCCTTTTCTCAGTAACTGGCAGAGGGTTTTTAAGTAGTTAAACTGATGAATAAGTCTCTTCTAGAATAAGCAAAAATGAAGTTTATTTTCTACCTATGGGGACTCAGAGTACTGTCTTTAACTTTCCCTGAGCCTGAGGAAGGATGTGTGCCGGAAAGCTTTCCGAAAAAGATTTTTTTTTTTTTTTGCGATTTCTTAGTTGGTTTAATAAAAGGTATCATCTCTGAACCAAGAGTTCCAGAGTTTTCCATTTCTAGAATGAGAGCACTTCTTCATAGTAAGCACATCCTAGACTTTCAAAACCCACCTGTCCAGTGATGGTCAAACTGAGTTCCACTGTTTCACCCCTATAACCAGTTTGGCCATCCATGAAAAAAAGCATAAAAATTAGAGATTTTTTGGTGTATTTCTCTTGTTCAAATCCAGCATGTAAAAAGGCAGGAAACACAAGCTGCTAACCCACTATTTGAGAACGATATACTATGGTTCAGTACAAAAAAATGACACCCACACAACATTCACACTCCATACGTGAGCCTTTTTCTATGGAACTGCAGCTCCTTACCAGTATATTGAAATGAAATGCAGCATATGTGGAAAGCACAGGCTTTAAATAGAATTGGGAAGAAGCTATAAGACATGACAGGTAAGCAGGTTCCACTGACATGTTTGAAAATAGACAGCCAGGTTTATCTAGATTTTTGACTATTCATCTCCTTTATACAACCCTTCCTTGGAATATAAGTGTTAAGGTGTAGACAATATACATGGAAACAAACACTGTGCCTGCTTATGAATCAGTTTCAGACAAAAGCCTAACAGCAGGATCACTACTTTTAGCAAGATGATATTGCTAATCCTGCCTACAGGAAAACAGGTTTTCTGTTTCTGATTTTTTACCGACAGCAAAGACTGGAGGTGATGTTAGGTTTAATAAGCAATTTCAGAGGAAAAAAATGGATATCTGGAAATGAATAATAGAATCATAGAAAAACAGGGCTAGAAGGGATCACAAGAGGCCATGCAGTCCAGTCCCTTGCTCGGGACAGAATCATCCCTGTCTAAACTGTTTCAGGCATGTGTTTGTCTAACCTGCTCTTGAAAGCTTTCATGGATGGAGAATCCACAACCTCTGTAAGTGGTCTGCTCCAGTGTTTTGCTTATATCCAACCTAAATTTCCCTGTGAGACCAACCCACATTTTCCATTTAAGACTATTACCCTTTGCCCTGTCCCTTGTAGTCACAGAGACTAGCTCTCTTCTGTATAACTACCCTTCAGGTATTTCAAGACTGTTATAAACCCCCCAGCCCCTCCTTCCCTCTCTGTCTTTTCTTCTCCAAACTAAATAATCCCAG